CATGGGTTTTGCCCAGCTTCTCAGGGGTTGTTGTGTCATGCAAACCATGCAAATCCAGATAGCAAGACTTGTTCGTGGGTTAGGCAACTCTTAAATAACTCATGGGTTGTATTAGGGCCTATTGTTGCTCTGCAATCTTCCTTTCTGCTGTTGCAATATATGAGTGCTGTCCTAGGTAGCCTTGCTAGGAAGTTCTACTGAAATAAATCAGTGGGACCTCTGAATAGGGTCAGGCTGTATATTTCTGTGCTGAATATGTCTTGATGTCAGCTTGAAGTAGATTTTATGAGGAATCCACCCAGAAATCACCTTAGCTTTTGTTTCAGAGCTGGTGGATTGTGCCCCACAGACTCAGACCTCCAGACAAACCTGAGTTTTATTTAAAACCTTTTCCACAGAGTGCTCTAAGGCAGTGGCCACCCTCTTCTCAGGCCCAAAGCACTGGGTGTTGCCCTCATGGATTTCCTGCTCCTTCCGGGAAGCATACCCCATCCAGACCAAATCTAGCTACTCTTTAATAGAAGCTGAGTTCAGACAGCACTGTGATCCATACTCAAGGATTAAGTATGGATTGAGTGTGGGTTATCACTGAACCATGCTTCTTGTTGAACCATACGTTATTACGTAGTCTGAACTCAGCTCAGATAGCCAGTCATGATGAACAACTCACAGTTTGCAACCTAGCGACCAACTGTGGGTTGTTCTTGATTAACAAGCCATGATTTCTTAGTGCAGCTGGGTTCAGACAATGTAACAGTCAAAGGTCCAGCCCATATTGAATTCATATTCAACTCTTCTATGGCTTATCTTGTTGTCTGAACTCAGAATTATCACAGCTTTATGCACTCATACCATATCCAGGTAGTTATCATTCTATTTTAAAGTGAAGCATTTCCTTATCTTTAAATTGGTCCAACAATCTTAATGCAACGTTTCCACACCCACAGTGGTATTATTTATATATATTTATTCTCTGGTGAACATGAGTTAATCAGAACTCAGTTATAAACAAACATTTTCTTATCTGAGAATGTGTCAGCATTTTCATGGTTTGTTCACACTTCATAGTGAATAGTTCATAATGAATGTAAATAGAACAACTGAATTTACTTTGGAAATGTATTTTATGCATAGTTTAGGGTAATTCATGGCTGCCTCATATATTTTAGGTTGTAGTCAGCCGACTTCATTTTTACTCAAGATTTTATATATGTACATATTTGCATAATTCCTTCCTATCCTCTGCTGGTTGGAGTTCAGCCTTCTCTACTTCCCACTTCAAAATGGACTAGATTTGTGTTATTTTTTTCAAATGTTTACCATAGGTTTCAGTGGGGCTTTAGAATGACTTGGCTTGAATCCAACCTTTGTTTTACTGTAAAACTTATGCAAACATTAAAAACACACAAATGCAAAACATGATGCTGTATTGAGGATTTTTCTTGTGCAAGAAATTTGTTGAAAATGTAGAACACACATTTTCCATGACCCGTTCTAAGAGTTTCCTCAGTTGCCAATTCTTCCAAATGTTCTGCCTTGAACACTTGTGCAGTTGCTCTCACAGTCTGTGCATACTTCCCACAGATAATATGATTATCAGAAGTTAGTTCTGGAAATGTCTCTTGAATCATGCTCCTTCTAGTTGTGGGCCCACCACACTTTTGCACCAAATATGCTTTAGAAAAGTGTTGAAGAGCATAAAAGATTCTAGAAAAAGCCATTTAACAAAGAAGTTATATTTTTTAAAAAAGTCAAAATACAGATGGATAAAATGTCAAAAACATTGTTCCTGGTAAATGATGTCCTGTATTTTCCAAGATTCTAGAATGTGTCAGATATGATTGTATTTTTATCATTCTCCCCCTCTTTAGGCACGAGCTTTAACACCCCAGACCGCAGAAACAGATGCAATACGGTTTCTGGTTGGAACACAGTCTCTTAAATATGATAATCAGGTAAACTGGTATAAAAGCTGTATGAAAATAGAATTGGAAATGTTTTTAAAGCCTTCAGTGGGATAATGATTTTTCCTTGCCAAATTGATTTTTTAAATGTAGTGTCATTTTAGAAATACTAGGTGTGATCTTGAAGAGTATTTGGCTGTGAAATTCTGTCTAAGGAATTGGGCTGTGGGGGTGTAAGAGACAAGCATGCATCTTGTTCATACTAATGGCAAATAATATGGACACTCTAATTTATACAGGGTAATATTTCCTTTTCCATTTATATGTTGTCTACTACCCAAAGTTCTCTAGGCGGCTTACAATAAAATTTAATATGCCTTATATCCTCGAGAAATTCCAAGGATAGCATCCAAAGAGTAGAAGTTATTATTTTTTTACAGGTTTATCAGGGTTGTATACAAGTATGTCACTTAGAATTGCATGTCATTTTTATTTATTTATTTTATTTATTTATTAAAACATTTCTGTGCCACCCCTTGCCGAAGCCTCGGGGCGGCTCACAGCACCAAATAAAATACAATAAAATACAAAAATAACAATATAAAATTAACAATATAAAATAAATAGCAATATAAAATATTTTAGGAAATGTTTACTTAAAAAATCTTAGGATGGTATCTTAGGGTATCATTATGCTTCCCAAATTACACAAGGGATTTCTAGTACTATGTTAATTGCATTAGCTTGTATAACAGGATATCCTAGAAAACCTTGGGAAAGCTAATCCTGTTGGTGGTGTACTTGAGCTTGAGGCCCCTTACACTTTTACACTTGCAACATTTACAGAATATCATCACTGGATATTACCCTTAGGCTACATTTTTGAACACCCTTTTACACCTTTCTTCCACACAAATGTTCTTTCAAGGAAGTTAATTGGAAACATTTCTTCCCATCTTGAAATTGTGTATTGTGTATTGTGTATGCTTGGTTTCATTTCAGCCTTTGGTAAATGTCTTCAGTAATCATCTAATACGCTCATCATGTTGCTTGTGCATAAAACCACTGAATTTTGTCAATAAACCCAGCATTGGCTTTACCCATAGCATCCCGTAACAAGTCATGGCAGATAGCATGGGATGTCGAAGTAGTACAGCAGTGAGACACTTATGACCATCTAGTTTTCGTTGGACTGAAACTCTCATTATCCATGATCATGGTTAGAGCTGATGGAATTTGGGGTCCTGGATCATCTGGAGGATCCCAGGTTCTCCATCCCAGAAGGTTGTGCATTTCCTTAGCCCCATTCCACTACTGGGCAGAGGAATGCACTGACTTCACTTTCTGGGATGAATGTCCTTGCAAGGGAGACACTGAGATTGGGTGCTGTTGGTGGTACCTTGGTCTCTCTGGCAGTGAGTAATACTATTCCAGCATTATGCTGATTAATAAGCATAATAAATGAGCTTGAACAAAAAAATGTGTTTGGTGTATCAGGAGATAGTAATATGCATTTAAGAGTTCTAAAATATGTCAAACTGTTACGGCTCTTGACAGGATGTCACAGTTCAGGCATCTGAGTATTCTACCTCTAATACAACGCCAGTCAGTGGTCCTTCCCCTCCCTGCTTTCACTTCCCTATTATGCATACCAGCATTAATAATTGAGGTGCAGGGCACTTTCTCTGGGCATTAATGAGCAAATAGGGTTAATGGCCTTTAGCAGTGCTTGAAGCCATCAGCTCCTCGGCTGGTGATTAATCCATAAGAAGTGTCATGAGCATCTATTGTTACTGCTTAATTTAGCAGCACTGATCTCCATGTGGGTCAGGTAATGGTAAAACACTTTCTCCTGGTTGCTTGACATCCAGGTTGCACTGCCTAAGTAGGTTCCAGCTTTCAGGCAGGGAGCTATTGTGAGTGCACTTGCTTAAAGAAATCTTGACTCATAAACAGTGAAGGGAAGAAAATGCATTTTAGTTGCATTAAACTGATTAATATTCAGGTACTGTAAGCAAGTACATAGTCTAATTCCCCTTGTCTGCCCTCCGTCTGCTTCAGTGGGTTGGAAAACTTCCTGTAACAAATTTTTGGGAGGTGCAAGGGGGCTACAGACGGGATGGGAGAGGGAGAAAGTTCTGTCACACAAACCCTGCCCTGCTGTCCTCCCATTTTAACAGATGATGAGGTTGACAATGAAATGCTTAGGAAGAGATGGAAGGAAAGTGATTTGTCCAAGGTCACATTGCCATTTGGAAGTAGATTGCCAAAAATTCTTTTATGGTCCATGATTTAATCTTCAGTTCCCAGTCTGCATCAAGAACGTTAAGCTGAGAGAAAAGAATGCAGCCAAGGCCAATGAATGTGTGTCTCTAATCAGAGGGATTTGAGAGGAAGACCAGGGCCATTCCATCAGTCAGCCCTATTGAAGACCTCCCTTGTGAAGGCTTCTCCTCCTCAGCTGTTGCCACCACAAGCTGTGCTAGCAGGCTGTACAGAGGATGAGAGTTGGATGCAGGGCTATTCCACCAGCTCTGCTGGAAGAATGGATGTTTTCCCCCTCTCCCTTGCCTAGTCCTTTCACCTTTCTGTGTTGTGTCGGTCTGGATTGTAAAACTGTGGGCAAGTTCTGATTATATGTAAATTGCTCCAGCAGACTTTTTGGGTGGCTTAAAATACTTCAAATAATACAAAGTGCAAAATAGAAAACACTTTGGTGGAAACAGGTGATGTTAATTAATAATTGCTTTTTTATTCTGTTTTTCTGTAAGGAATTCACAAAATATAAAATGAATCATAGCTCATTAAACATGAAAAGCTTGTCTTAAGCAGTTGAGTTTTCAAAATGTCTGAACATGGGAAGAGAGGGAGCCCAACAAATCTCTTTATAAAGCTTTGGTGTCTCCTTCAAAATGCCCAGCGGCTTCTAGCCATTGTAGAATTTCAAATGATTAGCTAAAGAGAAGCGTCCCTGAAGATGATTTCAGGGCTCAGGGAGGTTCATCTGGGAGAAGGTGATTATGAGTGTCCCCTGGTCCTAGGCTATTTTGGGCTTTCATAATTAACACTGATTTTTACGTTGAGATTGGAAACAAAAAGGCAACAAAAATGGCTCTTGAATTCAGGATATAATTTCCGAACTGTCCTTATGGTTTCTGAACTATATTGATTGTTACAGCAGTGTCTGATCCCAATTTATAGTTCTGATTCTCATCTTTGGAAGCCTTAAATGTCTTAGGATTCAAATACTTGTGCTCAGAGGAGGGTCATCTCTTGTTTTCCTTGTCAGAGGGAACCGTTTTGTAGGAACCAGACAGAGGGTCTTTTCTGTGGTGGCACCCTGTCTGTGGAATATCCTTCCCATTAGAGGTTGATTGGCACTGACACGATTTTCACATCAGGTTAAAACCTTTATTTATGCAAACATTTAAAAGTATGACAATCATTTGTGATTTGGTCTGCTCTGCCTTGTATTCCTTTCATCTGTTTATTATACAATTGTTTTATGTTTTTATTATATTTATTGCATACTTTGTTTCTGTTCCTCTGGGATCTCTTAGGTTGAAGGACAGGATAAAGATCTTTATTAAATATGATGGTTGGTTTTTGTAGTTTATATGCTATACTGTGGTCATCATTTGCCTGAGCATCTCTTTTTAAGGCAATGTTTCTCAAGGTTTTTTTTTTAAGTTTGTCACCCTCCTTTAAGCATCACCTTTTGGTCTTCTCCAATTCATTTCTCAGATTTTAAATAAAAACAAATTTACATCTCCAAAAAAGGAAGTCTACAACTAAAAATAGGGGATAGCAATATCCTAGACCAAAAAGGGAAGTATAAGAAGAGAGTCCTATCCTTTTCAAATCAGGATGGGTCACTAGAACTCTGATGCTGCCTTCCACATATATGATGAAGAGAACTGGAGGCATATAATCTATCCAGTTCTTATCCTGCTGCTTTAAATGTCATCTTCCTTCCTTCCTTCCTTCATTTCTCCACTTGTATTTTCTTCCTGGAAGGTTTGCTGGAAGAAGAACTTCAGGCAGCAATCATTTCCCAAGTTTAGAGCTTTGCTTCCAGTACTAGAATTCAGTATCAAACAAAATACTGTTTTGAGGGGCTTATAACTTTGGTAAGGCCCTGTATTTGAGCTGTTAGCTTTATTTACAACATTTTAATACCATTCCAAAGCTAAGCAGATTTTAGGGCGGTAAAGAATAAAAGATAAAAATAGTAAAGCATAATATTTACTATTTAAATTAGTAACTATTAATTTTAAATATTTACTAATCTAAATATGAATTTTGTTTTAATTTAAAAACAAAGTGTCAAGAAAAGCTGGGTGGTCAAGTCAGGAAGAGCTTCTTGACATAAAGGTGTTTTCAGGAGGCAGTGAGAACAACCCAATGTTGGTGCCTGTCTGACTTTCAGATCAGCGAATTCCACAGAAAGCGAGAAGCTTACTTCAGCTGGGCATAGGTCTGTGTGGAACCACTAGGAGCATGCCATCTGATGAGCTTAGTGCACTGAGTAACCCTGGAAGCACATGTCTAAAATATTGTCAGTAAGAGCCACCTAAAGGAAGTTTTACCCTGCTAAATGAAATACTTGACTCCCTCCCATAGGATGTTGTTGACGAATGTGTAAGAGCTTTGTTGTGATATCCCACCTTGTTTCACCTTTCACGCTTTCCACATCTCCAACATCAAAAGGGTGCAAGAAGTAGTAATAATAATAATAAAAAATCTTCTGGAAACGATGACATGTTGTATTTAATAACACTTGTCCTTAGGGCCTGATGTGGTTCTGAATCATCTCACCAAAGAGAAGAAAGCAGCTATGTCTGACTTTGAGGGACCTGAGATAGGGCAGAAGGCACTTCTAGTTTATGTGCTGAATGACCCTCTTTATATGGTTAGTAGGGGCATATAATACATGTGGGTAGAGCAAATTGAATTTTGATTTGTAGCTCACCTTTAGGGAATCAATTTCACTGCCAAGGAGACTACTTCATAATTCCAACATGAGCCTTCCTGTTTTTAGAGGGGGCTGTGATAGCATATAGATGAAGCAGCCAGCCAGCCAGCCAGCCAGCCAGCCAGCCTGGTACAATCTGCTCTGCTGTTTCAGCAGCAATTCTGTTGAAACTGTGCTCTGTTCAGTGCTGAAAGGGAGCTTTGTATTGTGGACTTCCTGCTTAGGCAGCCATTGTTCAAAAACCTTAAGAGAACATCTGTCTCTGGATGCTCTTCTGGCTACCTGCTAGCTTTAGTCTCAGGCTGGCTTTCTTCTTCTTATGTAAGCAAATAAATGAGATAGTTTATCTTGGGACAGCTGATTACAAGAATGTATCTTATGTGTCTTATCCAGAAAAGAGAACAATTGCTAAACATTTCAAGCCTTGTAGATATTGAAAGATACTGGCTGTATTCTCCCCCCCCCACCACCCCAGTTTTGTTCTTGGCCAGTGCTTCTATCGTTTGTTTCCTTCAAGAGAAACGATGATAGAAAATACTAGTTTTTCATAACTTTTTATAGGTAAAGCTCTGATCTTGGCTATGTGAAAAAATTCGGGGATGCTAAGTACAGAAGAAAAATCATTCAATGATGGAAAATATTGTTGTATTATCCTGCTGTAGTGTGTTGACTCTGCTATGCCATCACTCTTTCCTTGCCTCTTGGCTGGATCCCAGTGAGCTGAAGGAGTGCTTTGGGGTGATAGGATGCATGTTTTGCATGCAGTAGGCCCCAGGTGTAGTCACTGGACTCTCCAGGTAAGGGTCCTTGGGTATCAAAGGTTGGGAAAGACCTTGGATAGCTACTGCTGGTAGTAATAGGAAATACCAAGCTAGATGACTGTTAGTGTAAGAGGATAAGGTCTCACTTTCCCACTTCTTCAGTAGTAAAAGGCTAGATAGGGATTTTAGAGCTGCTTCTTGACTAGTGTAGAATGGCTGTTAGTGGAGCCTTACTGTAAGACCAGGCTCTAAATCAGGCTGCAGGCCAAATGTCTTCCATCAGGGAAACCCTCCTGTGAGCACGATGGTCAGCAAGGAAGTCGTTACTGTTACTGATGATCAGTGATTGCTGAGTGTGTGAATTGGGAGGATGGGTAGTACTCAGGGAAATCCTTGCTGTTATCTTCAGGCGCTGATTGGATGTAATGTGAGCATTTCCATTAGCTAAAGCTTCCTGGTCAAGGAACCTACTGGCCAGGCAAAGCTGTTCTGACTGAGGGACTGGCTGAAGGAGTGCTAATTATACTAGCTAGTGCCCTTTGTCATTTTATGGAAACTTTTACCTGGAATCTAATTTTGATATTTGTTAGTTTGATAGAAATGTTTGCGATTTAATCAGAATGGTGATTCAGTCAATCTTCAATAGAAATTCTCAACATGAAATTCTTTGTGGAGTCTTTCTTATTTCTTCTGTCTTTTAAAGATGTTCATAACATGATAGAAGAAGTATTTCTGGCTGAGTAGAACAGAAACTGTTTCAGTGACTTTTGTGCACCTGTTTTTGTAAAATAAAATTTACATTAGGTTTTACACAATTGTGCAAAGTAAGTACCTCTGAAAAATATGTGAAGCCCTAATTTTTTTGTCGTCTTTGTAGATTCACATCATAGATTTTGATGATGAAAATAACATCATAAACAAAAATGTCCTTCTACATCAAGTTGGTGAAATTTGGCACATAAGTGCCAGTCCAGCAGATAAAGGTGTACTTGCAACTTGCTACAATAAAAGTAAGTATGATTTGATTATTTTAGTCTGCTCTTCTTCCCATAAGAGATTGGTGGTAGCTTATTAACTGTGTTATTGAAATGTGCTTCTGTAGAGCTATTCTTCTAAGTGGAAGGTGACAACAGGTATGCAGAAGATGGGGTTGTGCAAGTTATAGATATCCATATCTCTGTAGCATATGATGTACCTTAATTGCACTTCTTTGTTGATCAACATTGTACTTCCCATATCAGGAACAGTTGCATCCACTTTCCCCATTCTGCACATGAAGACTATTTATAGCTTTCTATGTACATGCCTGATCAAGGGCCAGTAGGGCACGGTAAATTAAGGACTCTGTGTCTTCTCTAAAGTTCTTTCCCTTAGATGCTGGCACCATATAGCCTGAGCTGAACTGAGTAGTTATTCATATTAAGGTGCTGATTTGGGGTTTCCTGTAACCATTTCAGTGAACAGATTTGTTCTTGGTAATTGTCAGTGTCGTGGGCTATGGCTGTATGTGCTGTAAAAATGTCTTAATGAAAAGAGTTTTTGCAAGAAAAGAGCTAGCACACCATGGAGAAGCATTCTGTGTCCTCTCTTTTGAGCTAGATAATATGTGGATGAGGATGAAATAATGTGATTCTTGCAATCTGAAGTCATACAGTTATTTTATCATCTTAAATCTACAGTATATATACACAGGAGTACATAAGTCCCATTGACTGGGGTTTAATTCTGTCTAAGTGTGTACAGGACTGTAGCTGTTGCCTCTGTGTGTTGCTTTTAAAAAAATGTGGTTTGGGCTATGGGGGAATGCACTGTTGAACATGGACAAGGCATCTGCAAAATGTTGAAATCAAGATGGAGTTTGGCATGAGCTCTCTGTAGTGTTCTCTGTAGCCATGAAAAATTCAGTGATGTCAATAACATCCACCCCCTCTGCAAACTTAAGTTATAGCTACTCTAGGGTCTCATTCTCATGCATATAACGGAGTTTCAAAGATCATGTTTAGCCTAGCCATCCTTATTGGTTCACCCATTCAGAAAAGTTTTTTTGTGCAACCTGACTCACAGGCAAGGACAAGAGTTTGAGATTTCCATGGCGTTCATGTTGAAGTCAATTCCCTACAGTGCAATACTGTTGCAAATCCACACAGGTGTGAAGGGGTATGTTGAAGCTGCCTGTTTTTAATGAATTAATACATTTATTGCTTGTCTAGACATTTTATATTTGATGATGGCATGTGGGATGGGAGTTCAAAGAAGATAACTAAATTGCTAAGCAAGACAAGATATTTTTGTACAATCTTGTAGACAAGGTACTTTTTAATGCTGCAGTGTTTAGGAAAATGGAGCAACATTTTGTAGAACCAGTACCTGGAAAGCAGTGACTCAAACTAGAATACTAGCGAACAATTGCAGAGCAGGGAAGCAAAGTTTGCTTTCAAATATGCAAAAAAGCAATAGCTTCCAGTTTATATATAGTAAAGAACAGCACATCCCCGTTAGCAGTAGGTATAACCATGAGAAGATTCTTCCTCCTGCCCCAAAGCTACTAGATCATTATACCTTGGATTGCAATAAATCTTCTCACTTTGAGAAGGTGAAAAGGCAAGCAGGATAGTAGATCATCCTGGTACCTGAGTAGCAGGCAAAATTAGAACAATGAAGAGCTGACAAAGCACTGAGCTGAGATGAAATACAACCCATGGATGTTTGGCATTACTTAATTTTCACAGATCTCATTAAAGTCTCGAGAACTCTGTAAGTGCGGCAGACTTGGGGTAAACCACAGATCTATAACTTTTACGCTCTCTGGTATGAAGGAAATGAAACCAGGGAAAGATGTTTACAGATTCTTCAGAATCCTCATGGCTAATGTAGCTATTTTTGTAGTATAAGATGCTCTCTAATGCCAAATCACTGAGTTAAGAAGAATTCAGAGTTGTGGAAAAGGAAGGTTTGGGTGCATGGCAGGAAGCTGCAAACAGCTAGTTTCACTCTGGAGCAGACAGCATAGACAAACCTTGGGGAAGAGAGTAAAACTAATGCTGAATCCTGCTTGCCTGTGTTTATTACCATCTGCTTGCTTGACTTTTCACCCTGTTCTGCTGAACTCCTCATGCCATTGGCAGTCTGACTTTGGCCATCTACGAATCTCTGGTGGCATGCTGTAAATTGGGGAGAGAGCTTTAATGACATTTAAGAGGTTAAAATCTGTCTCCTAGAAAGGCAAAATCTAGAAGCTTTGGGAACTTCTTACCTCACATCTCATATTAAAGTCTTTTTAAAGAGTCAGCACAGGGCAGAAGAATGACTGGCCCCCAACATCCATTTACAGACTTCTTATAATTCAAAATATGCATTTTGAACTCATTGCTTTAAGTCAGGTATAACTGATGTTAGGCTTCCCTGTGAGTATGTATATTGAGAATACAGAAACAGGATGAAAGAATTAGTAATCACAATTTTCCTGTGCAGCTTACTGGCCTAGCTCAGTGAAGCCTTTGGTTCAACTTGACTGTTGGGTCTTCTGTTTGTAAGTTTTGTCAGGTGGCGCAGTGGTTTAAACTGCTGTGCTGCTGGGCTAGTTGATCGAAAAGTCGATGGTTCCAGTCTGCACAACGGGGTGAGTTCCCGTTGCTTCATCCCACCTCCTGCCAACCTTGCAGTTCGAAAGCATGCAGATGCAAGTAGATAAAAAGGCACCACTTCGGTGGGAAGGTAACAGCATTCCGTGTGCTTTGGTGTTTAGTCATGCCGGCCACATGACCACAGAAATTGTCTGTGGATGAATGCTGGCTCCCTCGGCTAGGAAACGGAGATGATCACTGCCCCCTGGAGTCAGACATGACTGGACTTTAATGTCAAGAGGAAACCTTTATCTTTAACTTTACCTTTACACATGTTGAAGACACAAATTTAAACTCCAGCACCTGTCTTCAAGAGGGAAATTATTTATGTTAAACACCTCCTTTTCAGTAGATGAAATAAAGCATTTGAACCCTTAACATAAGCATGGTTGCATGCCAGAAGAGGTAAGTTTTCGCTTATTAGAGAAAGGGGCAGTGGGCAGGGATGGCAGGCAGATGGCTGTGATATTGGGAAACACTCCTAGGCCTCTGGTGCTGGTCTTTTTCCCCCTTGCTAATAATTAGAGTTCTTCTGATTACTTTGTTCTTGAGCCTCCCCAGAATATTTCTCTTAATTTTCAGTATGTCTCTAGCTGGAGGCGCTGTTATTTCCCTGCAGAACAAAATTGAGTTCTCAATAATACTGCTCCACAAATAATGCCATAGAATTCCACTCAACCTGTACCATGAATGTATTAGATGTCACAAAGAATTGCTTCCAGAAATCTGACCTATTGATCTGGCTGTTGGAGATGAAATGTGAAAAAGGGCACCTCTTATACATATTCTGGTATTGTATGGTTATTTTAACCCTGAACAGAGGTGATTAAATGTAAGAACTTTAGCTTACAATTTAAGATAGTTACCTGCTATATGGGTGTTCTATGTAGAGCGGCATAGAGGGATAACAAGAAGTGCGGCTGTAGTTTCAGCAGGGATGGTGCAATCTGCTGCATGTTTACTGAGAAGGACATCCCAGGTTTCCAGTGGGCTTTAATTTTAATCTAAGGGAAATGAGGACAGCATTTTACCAGAAGACCGGGGGGGGGGGATGGGGGGGCAGGAAATCCATCCCCTTTCATAGCTTCCATTTGAATTAGTTGACTGATTTCTCTTGCAAGCAAAATTAACTGAAATAGAACCAGAACACACTATATGTGTTTTCTTGAAATTTGGCTTCTTTTTAGCATTGTTTGAGAGAGAAAAAAAGTTATATCGAAGATCTTCTCCCTCTTCTTTTTTATTCTTCCTTGCCATGGCAATTCTTTTTGTTATAGTCTTCTCTCTACATCTCTACACATTGTTGCTCTATTTATTCTTGTATATATTTATTTTTAATCTGATAATAACATCTTTCCACATACATTACCAACACAGGGTACAGTAAATAAAATGTGAATAAAACCCAAAATATTAAGGCAGCATTCAAACCACTAAGAATACATTGAAAATACATTCCTATATGAAGTTGTTGTTACTGTTAATATCATTAAATTTATTATCAAAATTGTTAATATTATTAAATTTATGCATTACGTCCCATTGAGAAAGCAGCCTTGAACCAACTTGTACACACAAACATGGGAATCCAGAATTAATAGAAAATCACAACAATCAATATAACTGAATAGTCAGCACAATAACACACATTAAAAAACCCCTGAAAACAGTGCAGTACAAAAAGTGTTTGCCTATAAAATGGTTGCTCAGTTCATGAACATTTCTGTTCATGAACAAATCAGTTCGTGAACAGACAGTTTGGCAAAATTTTGCTTCCGTTCGCAAACTCCACATCAAGTGACGAGCACGACCGTGGCCATCTTCTGCTTGCTTGGGCTGCAACAGAAGCCCAAGGTGACAAGGGTACGCTTGCCTCGGTCGAGGCCTCTCCAGCTCCTTGCTGCCACTCCACTTCTCAGGTGCTCGCCTGGCTCCGGGAGAGGGAGCAGGGGCGGGAAGCCGGAGAGGCGGGCACGGGATGGCTCCCCCTGCTGGGAGAGGGCCGTGAGGAGGGAGGTAAGGGCTGCTTTCTATGAGCCGAGGTGAGGGGAGGCGAGGGGCAGAGCCATGGCTGACTGAGTGGGGCGCCTCCCGTCTCTTCCTGCCATGGGGGGAAGAAGCTTGGCAGCTGCTCGATGGTGGTGGTGGCTTGCCCTGAGAAGGCTATGGCCCTGCTCCCCCTCTGCCTCGGTCCATCCGCCCCTGGGCTCGGCGAGGCGGCTGCAGCTTGGCCCACAACCCAGGGATGTGGGTCATATTTTTGTGGTTAAAAAACAAACAAACAAACAAATTTACCTATTTACCTACCTGTCTATTTAAAGCTTTTATATGCCGTCCTTTATGTATAACATAAAGTTATGGTTCAGAGCAGATTAACCTTATTTACA